TCAAATTTATTGTATGGTATTTATGTTCATTAATTGCGTCGCTGAATAAGCATTATGTTTGGTTTTGTCGCACTTTTAAAAAAATTTGAAGAAACTAATGGCAATAGGTACCAATACAATGGCAAATATACTAGTAACAACAACAAAGTATGAGAGCTTTATCTAAAGCGATGTTAAAAAAACAACATCTCATAAAATAATTATATTATATTAATGCTAAATTCTCAAGCCAAATCTTATTTACTTGAGAAAAAAAAATTAAAAAAAATCTTAGTTTAAAAATTACATCATTGCTGATTTTACCGTTCTTATGGCCTGAATTTTGAAAGAAAGATAAATAGCTTTATCGGATATTTTGACATTTCTAAAAGGTATAGAATGCTGGTTATAAAGTGGAGAAAAATCAATATTAATATTGTGGTTTTGCAGGTTTTTCGGACAACGTCACATGTTTTTATTGCGGTGGACAACTTCGAAACTGGGAAAACAACGGCGGTTCACTGACAGATATAGCATGGATAGAGCACGCGCGGTGGCTTCCGAGATGTCCATTTTTGTTGCTTAAAAAGGGACCAGAGTTTGTTGATATGGTGCAGACAAAATACCCTCCTAAGGTTTGCTAAATAATGTACTTTGGGTTGATATCATAAACATATTAAGCAATGTATTTTCCAGGTTGTCGTATTAAACTTACCAGTCACCCAAGTCTGATTTATTTTCTCACAAAATAATATGCCAACCGAAAGCAAATAACCACTGTTTTATTTATTTATTTATTTATTTATTTATTTTGTTTGTTTGTTTGTTTGTGTTTTGTTTGTGTTTTCCGCACAAGATTTATATTATTGCTTACTAACATGTTAATGTTCTATTTCCATTCAAAAAGATACCAGATGACAACTCTAGACGTAACAAAGCCTATACAGCAGTTAGAAGTGATGATTCATTGTTTGACATGGCAAGGATACAATACGAAATAGAGCAGATCGGTAAGTTTGTGCTGTTTCCTGTTAAGGCTCAGTCACAAATCAGTTGCGATGTGTCGGGGATGGGTAAAACCCGGGAAATTTGAACAAAATCTTGAGACAGATCTCACGATTTTGCACCCGTCGGAGGCGCTCTCCGGACGCCTACGGGTTGTCGCAGATATTTTAGACATCGCCACACCCGTCGCGGTCCCCAACTTTGAACTTAAAATTTTAAGATTGCTCGCCAGATTTTTCACCCATTTTGGGCATCCCAGACACAATCTCCGATGACCTACGATGCCCTCCGATTAATCGGAGGCGTCCTCCGAATATATACCCATATATAACCACATATACCCAGGGGGGAAAAATTACGAGAAAAGACGCTCGCAGATATCGTCTCCGATCGCCTCCGATGCAATCGGAGGCGATCGGAGGCTAATCCCACGATTTTTCGACAAAACCGGGTCAAAATCCTTGATAAAATCTCAGACAATGTGACTGCTCCACTTTTATTAGGATTATTGCTAGGATTGTTCAAGGAGTCTTTATTTTCTACGACGACCCCGACAGCTCGCCGACATTGTGACTGAGCCTTTAGCAAATATTCCTCCTCTCATATTAACTGTATGTATTGCATTGGTCGTGTACGTTACATGTGGATTGTATATGGTATCTATAATTATGTCCCCAATCATTTAGTATAAGCTTAGTTTTCTTATCGTTACTCCTCTCAGACCCAGTGGCATATATTTGACTTTCATATTTGACTGCGTCAGTTTTGATTATTTTTCTGATGCATTGCCATTAAGGGTCAATTAATCAGTACATCATCAAAATCAACCTGCATTGGTATACATCTTCGTCAATTTTGTTAAGGCGCCTTCTGCTGGTATATTTCATCTCTCACATTGTTACAGGAAAAATTACAAAATTACAGAACGAAATTGCAGTAATGGCAGGATCAATAAGCAGTCTTCAGATCCAACACGACGAAGCTTTGAGAAAAGTGAGGTGTCCAGTATGCATTGACCGGGAAGTCAATACTCTACTCAAACGTTGCAACCACGTCGTGTGCGAGTCATGTGCGCCAAATTTATCTACATGCCCTATATGTCGCAGTGTCGTCGATAATAAGGAACGATTTTATCTTGGATAAACTTGTTTATATATAATTTTATAGTCAGGTCAGGTTTCGCCTGCTACTGGTAACATGTAAACCAGTACTACCTGTTCCATGGTCGGATTGTCGGCGACTAAACCGGCTCCCCCACTGGGCTTACCCAGTGAGGATGGTGCGTAAACACCCAGCAGCAATAAAAACAAACCTGTCAAAGGGCGGATGAGCTCCTTTGCGAGTTATTGGGCCATTCCATCAGAAAAAGAGGGATTGGAGAATCTTAGCCTTAGTAGTAGAATAGCTGGCAAAAGTACCCGAGGCAGAAAACGAATGACCTTACTTGACAGTTTTGAATTACCAACCAAACACCTTTAGTCATGGGCGAGAAACAAAAACCTTCCGGATAATATCAACGTTCGTCAAACACCGCATGGGTGATGGCACATGAAGAAGAACCAAAGTTTAGTGATTTAATTTATCACTGGGTAACCTTGTTATAAATGTATCAAGAACAAAGTGTAATTTGTAACTGATATCAGATTTATTGAAACTATGTTACAATCTGTTGTGTTTATTAATTTATTCTTATTAAACCATTTTACAGCAATCCTTTTCTATTTGTTTTATGATCCAAGTGCGTCAAATACGTCCACTTTTGTTTGTTATGCTTTCCTAGCATTAGTTAATTTACTGAATACTTTTTTAAAAGAACATCTCCAAAGCTACCATGCAACCTGCCATAGTTGCCATAGTTGGCACTGTGGCATGTGACTCACGACTTTTTGTTCCATTTAATGTGTATCAAATATTCTATATATAAAAACTTTATTAACCTATCAGCATCGATCACGCCAATTCTGTTACAAGTTTTCCTATAGTAAAACAATCAAATAAGTACCTGGAGCCTCGAATTCAAAATCCGTAAAACTGTTTTGTATAAATCTTCCAACTTCCGCTGCCGATGGCCGTTGAGAGACACTTATTCGACATAATTTACACTGAGATCATTGCATCCTGGCCTCTTTATATTAGAACATGTGTGCCTTTAACAGTCTTTAACCCCCCCCCCCCCGCCTCCTCCTTACTAAATAAAATACAACAAAAATCTATGAAACTGATTTTGCATTACGCTCAAATAATTTACGTTACTAATCGATTTAATTGACATTATTCAATAATTTCATTTGGGTAACCTTAAAAACACGTCATTTGGGAAGCAGTATATTAAATTGGACATGCTGTAAATAAACATTGAAAATTCGGCCTGCATTTTAGGCTTTAGCTAAAGTAGTTGCTATTGTTCCCCTCTATTCTTCTCTCTGCCTGTCCAAGGCATAACTTTAGGTCATGTCTGTTATTTCTAATTGTTTCTACAGTGTAGGCGAGTTTACTTTAGCTATATTGTAAGGAGATTACCTTTGTATTAAGTGATAGCCTAAATAACACTCCATGGGAATCCCAGACCCCTCCCCAACTATATAAAACAAAACACTACATGTGCGATAGTGACAATGTTATTGCAAAATGCGTTTAAAATCGAAGGAATGTTAATCTTAGGTAATCCAATAAAGTCAATTTCTTTTAAAGTGTGAACCATTTCCCTATTAAGCTTACTATTGCGTACAATATGCACGAAGCAGTATGAATATTTAATCAAAAACAGAGTCTATAATCTCCAAAACAGCCCATCATTTTAGCAAAAGCGTACTTGAACCACAAAAGAGGCACTTCATCATCCAATATTAAGAGTCCTGGTTGAGGAAAAAAAACGACCCAGAGACTGATTTATTTCATTGAACCCCCTTGTATACCTTACCATGACTGTCAAAGTTACACAAAAATGTAAAGCTCCAACCCGATTAGATCAACCAACCTTACAACAAATATCATAGAGCTCGCTTTGTATAATAGCGACATCTATACGTGAAATTGATCTCAACAAACACAATGTTGCTTCCTTATATTTACCTATGCCATGTTTCTGATGCACATTGTACGCCTCTGTTGTCTCTTACTCAAGCACTGGTCGTGTGCATGCTAATATGGTGTCCTTTATCATATGACTGCTTTTCTAGATACGCCAGTCAGAAAAATAGCGTCATTTACAAACATAGCTGCAATTATCATATTATATAATATTTTGATTGTGGAAAGCTGCAGACAAACAAGCTCTGACCCACAAGCATTTAATAGGTTTATAGCATGAGGTAAAGGATCGGGGCAAACAAGATTATTTGCAAAAAAAATTGCGAAATGCAGGTGGCCTTTGCATGTCTTTCCGAAATAGTTAGTTCGGACAACTTAAAATAAGGGACTATTCCCACAGATATTTGGATCGATCTTTCTCCCTGGGTAGTCTCACTAAATTGCTATAAACGTAATCGGCTTAAATGCCTATCACGCCCAGAATAGCTGTTAGGGTGTAATTATTTTTACCCCCAAGCTGATTCGGTAGGCGTGACACACGGCCGATTTAGTTGATAGCAATTTAGTGAGAGACCCCAGGGAGTTAAATCGATCCAGATGAATCGATCTAGGCATTCATCAGTCTAAGAAAAAGCCCTGTACTAACCCACGCATATGTCACTTCTTCCTTAACGTATGTGAATCTAACGGAGAACGGATCTTATTCAATAAGAGGGAAAAGGTTATCTGCATTAAATATATGTGCAGTATTTCGACCATTAAGAAAATGATTAATGGTCGGACAGGTATGCAAAACACTCAACCCCGCACGGTAACGTATCAGCAATTTCCTATTCTATAACCCTATAAACTGTTCAGTTCTTGGGAAGTACATTGACTTGTAAATGTATAGATTTACACTGACACTGTGCCATGTATTATAGGCTTTGGTGAAACTATTTTTCTTCTTTTTCCTGGATAGTATTTGGCGTGCCTATCCAAGTGGCCTACTTCAGGTCGTCTCTGAGATTTTTCATTGTTTCAACGGTGTAGGCGAGTTTTTCTGGGGTCAAATATTGGTTGATAACAAATCTCACCATGGCTCCCTCTTTTGGGGTCGCCGGATAAAAGAAAACCCAAGGGTATATCCCCTTAGAGCACAGATAGTGGTGTATTTCTACCGCCCTCTCCATCTCACCGACAACAACAGATACTATGGGGTGGTCGATGTCGGTCCTAACTGGGAACCCAGCTTCTTTAAGCTGTTGTCGAAATGATTTAGACAGGTTTCGCAAATTCTCTCTCTGTTCAGTTGCCTCCATTGCCAACTCCATTGCTTTTTTCACTCTGACGGCGCCCGAAATTTGAATAGTGTTGCTGAATATGCCTAACGTTGTAGCGTGGTTGAAACATTCAGTGACGTTACGGGTGCTGGCAATGATGCCGTTTTCACAGGTAAGGCTTTTATATAAGGATGTGGTTCTTACATGAACGCCGTCTTCGAGACCAAGATGGGCGACTAAACCTTCACCTTGCTCCCCTATTATGCCAAGTGCATGGCTCTCGTCTACGACGAGGATGCAACCAAGGTCGTGGCACAAGTCTACCAAGTCGGCCATCGGTGCTTCCTCCCCGTTAGTGCTGTAAATCGAGTCCACGACTACCACTCCGCTCCCTGTTTTTCCTATCAATGACCGGAGGTGATCCAGATCATTGTGTTGAAACACCTGCAATCTCGACGCAGCACCAGCAACGGTCACCCCGAGTTTTAATGTTGCATGAGCAAAGTGATCAACAAAGACTGGTCGCTGGTTTCCTTTGAGCAATATCTCCATGGCTCCAATGTTTGCTGCTGTGCAGGAGTAGGTGAGGGCAGCACTTTTGCTCTTCAGCCACCGCGCCAAGGCCCTCTCTGTATCCTTAACGGGAGAATCGACTGGATGTGAGACAACGCAGGAACAGATTCGGTCCATACCGTGACGGAGAATCGCGTCGGCGTGCACCCGGTTAAGTTCCTCGTTTTGACCAAGTCCAAGATAGTCCAAGGAAAACATATCCACGTGGTTCTCGTATTTGTTTAATGTTTCAAACGGAGAGTAAGCCGCCTTGGTCCTTGCGGCTAACTCCTGGGAGTGTTGCCCTGGTAACTGGCCTCCCATCCATCTCTTAACTGTCGTAGTAAGAGACAGGGGTCGTCGGTGGACATGGATAGATTGGTGGAACACGGAACGAAGAGATGATATGGCCTTCATGACAATGTCAACAGCGTATCCCTGATTCATGAGAAAAATGAAGTTTAACTTCACATATATATATATATATATATATATATATATATATATATATATATATATATATATATATATATATATATATATATGTAAATAAATAGATAGAAACTTTCGAATGAATTATCAAATACACATTCGGGATATGTTGTTATTACATGTTTAAATTTTTATTTTTCATATTCATTCAACAATCTGATGGTTTGTATCGCATAAAATTCAGAATGAGCATGTTTTGCGGGTCACCGTAGACCGCCAAATGCTTCACCAAGGGGATGTCACTACTTTTATCGAATAGCATTGATTTATTGAAAGCAAGATTAATTTTGGTATTTTTCCTATAAGGTGTTTTGATAGATTTTTTTAGGTATATGAATAAGTTAAACATTACATATACTCGTATTTCCCCCTCTCTAGCTCGCTGTTATAAATCTTGAAGAGAGATATCTGTATCTGCAAGTTAAATCGACCGTATGTCTCCACAGGTCAGCTATATGGACACATTTTTGGATAACTCTCATATTTAAATTTTTAATGCAAACAATAACAATGCCTTAAAACAGATCCATTCTGTTTTTCTTCTAAACCAACGTTGCTAGTATCAGGAAAATCTTAAATAACAAATTTACACATGACTATTGAGAATAAAACATACCTGAGGCGTGGCTCGTCCTCATAGGAAGTTCACGTCACTTAGTCGTCTCGTGTGTGGCTGATATGTAGCTGCTCCTGAAAACAAACGTTTTTATTTGGTCCACCAAGGAACTTATAGTACTTATTTGCATAAAGAATAAGGAAGCGTTATCAAAAGACACATTCTTCTTGGAAAGGATTGATTAACATGGTCATTTCAAATTGACCAGAGATAAAATATTCATTCATTCAAGATTAATTGCTGCTTCGTGTTCTTGGTGTCTAAATACATATTTTATGTATGAGGGTGTTCAAATAGCTACAGGTATAATGGTGCTCAGTGGGCTGACAGAGAACAGTAGAGATCAGCTAAAACGGAAAAAGCCAAAGTGATAGAGGGTATCTGACTGAGTCTGTGACTCTTCTGTTCAAAGGTCAGTCGCTGTATGGATGCTCTCTACTTTTTATCAATTCATTTGATGCCACACAGTTAAGATTTAGTAAGTCAAGGTCTTGCTTTGACAAACCATTTGACATACAATTACACCTATATTTAAGGAACCATAGTAACCAAGTAAACTAAACTCAAATGAATAAGTTGAACAAGAGTAAAAATGTTAATGTTGGCACAAATTAGTACTTAAACTCTAAGACAGTAAGCAGCAGTTAGTTAAAGGCACCATGCAAGTGTCCATAACACGATTTCTATCTTTATTGAATAATCACTTCAGGCAATTTGGAATACGATAATTTGACATAATACAAGTTGCTATCTTCATAAGAGGTTCCTTTACCAACCAAACAAACCAAAGACAGAACGTTTTATAACTTTACCATAACGTTTCCACATATTTATGGTACGGTTACAGTAACGTGTTGTGCTTTTGAGTATCTCATTTGAATTTGATATAACGCAAAATAATCTATGGATCAATTTTATGCCAGAGGCGCCAGAAAATCAAACCCTGATACCATTCGATACCAATTAAAAGAGGGAAATCTCAGGAATAGGTAACAAACTTAAATAAACGACGGAGTCATGCTTTCGAACGGTGTTAAAGGACTGTGATTTTCAGGAAGGAATTTAATCTTTATAGATTTTCTAACAGCTCCCAGTGACGAGTTAAATCCCATTTACATCCCTCGTGCGACCTTTGTGCGATCATGAAATTGACCAGGTCGTCGTTGGACGCCCAACGGAAGCCCGATGATTGCTAAAGACACTTTCACACCATGCACAAAAGAGGTACGTAAGTGTAGCCTGAAACTGTGAAAATAGCTCTTTATTTTTTCTGCAGATGCTAAAGCGTAGGGATATGTTGCTCGTTCGTGGTCACCCTATCGTATGCCAAACGTATGAGTAACGTACGACTCAATTGCTCGTGTACTTTTAAAATTTTGAACATTCTCAAAATATTCTTTCAGCCTCTGCGACTGCGAACGTACACAAGTGTTACTTGGGTACGTGGAAGGTATGCGACGTAAGACGAACATACCCCTTACGTTTGTCTGCATACGTGTAATTTTTCCCATACGTTGGCGCTATATGCTATAGTGGGACAGGGCCTTTGATTAAGATGGCTTACGGAATTTACTCCACATTAATATTCCAACATTTTAATAAAGAAATAAAACGTCATACTGAGGATACTTGCATGTGGAATTCTGTAAACAGTCTTGTTTTAAAACTAGACCATGCGCATTAACCCTCAAGAGACCAAGCTATTTTACTGACTGAAATGACCAAGTGGGGTCATTTATGACCCCATTGTGCTGTGTACAGGGATCCTTATTATAAAAGGCCGTTGAGGCTTTATCACACCCATACTACTCCCAGGATTTAAGACAAGTATTTTATAATGATCTAATGTAATAAGTATTTGGCAATAATACTTTTATTGCATGAAATAACCAAGCACAGATTTTAAGAACAACATTACACCGGTATTTAGACAGTCATTGTCAGTTTCCACTTGCAGAAATATTTCTCTTTTCATTTGCCACACTAAATGAAAAAAGTACATTACAAAATTACTTTGAGTAAAAATATTTTGATTTATGTTGAGATAGCATCCTGCTAACTTCAATTAGAATAATTAGCTNTGATTAAGATGGCTTACGGAATTTAATCCACATTAATATTCCAACATTTTAATAAAGAAATAAAACGTCATACTGAGGATACTTGCATGTGGAATTCTGTAAACAGTCTTGTTTTAAAACTAGACCATGCGCATTAAATTGCGAAATTATACAATTATTTACACAAATAACACTGTGTCACCCCATTTGTCACGGTTCATGGTCCATCTTCCAAGATCATCCTAGACTACACTGACCCGCTCTTCCTTTATTTATCTTTCACACGTCAGGGTCAGCACGCTTATCGGACGCTCCATAGACGACTGGCATTTTATATTGTGACATCGCCAAATTGTTTTGGCTAGGTAATGTCCTTTTAAACGAAATTATCTCAACGCGCCAAAGCTGCCAGTTCTAGACGGTCAAACCATCTGTGTTCCTCGCCTTGCCTGCTTTCCAGGGATTATCATCGTGCATTTACATTTTAGATTTTGTCGATTTTTTATATGGCATTTAAAGTCATACACCTTTTTGCTAATATTTATGAGCATTTCCTTCTTCGTCTTATGGTTATTATTATTATTACAAAAATAATAATGTTGAACTCCAAAGGCACATTTTTGAGTAGTTTTAGCGTAACTGACCGAGATAACATACGATCGTCTCTTGAGATTAAAAATTAAAACAATACCTAAAGTCTGGTACAGTAGAACATTTTGCACACTGACTGCTAGGCACGTTTCTGATTAAAATCTCGTTCAATATTATTCAGAAAGAAATATTTGTTCTACATCATTAACTTGAAATTAAAGAATGTCGCCAATACTCATATTTCCGAAACTATTTTTAGCGTTTGCGCAACTATCTAAACAATCCCTACCCTTTCGCAAACTGTTAGATTAATGATCATAATTTTGCAATAGTACGTCTTTTCATTCTTTTCTAATTTGACGTCACTATGTCACGCCCACAGTTTAAAATCTATTACAGAAGCGTTACCCATTCTCCCAGCCAATTTACGTCACTTGTTGACAGGACAAGGCGACCATGGGCCATATCAAGGTGACCACAAGCTACAGCGTAACCAGGTACATGTAGGTCAGATCAATTAGATGTGGTAGCTCTTTATATTTATAGCCTTTATGAAACGCCTCAAGAATTACGAATAAACAGAACTTGCATTGTTATTCATAGTAGGTGAAAGCATGTCAAGAAAGTTTTATATCTTATGAACGCCCACGGAAACCCCACTGGCCCCGATCCTGATACCCACGTGTAGTTAAATATCAACATGTTAGCACTGGTCATGCCGTGCAATTGTGCCCCAAATAGTTGTTTACTTAGGATAGGTCTAATCTCTGCACGACCTGTCAATTATTTTGCTAAAATTAGACTATTTTTTAACTGTGTGAGCCCACTTGTCACGGTTCACCTGGTATGAACGGTATAAAAGAAGATAATATCCATACAATGACAGATTTTAAAACAGAAGATTCACAGTATAGTCGACAGGTGCACCTTTTAGCGTTTTCGTGTTCTTCGAATTTTTAATCCTCACTGCTGCCATCGCCAATTTTGCCCGTTACAAACTTGACTCTGTCGATCGACCATCATAAAAGCGATTTTTATTTTTCCTGCTGCTATTAAGTGACCCTTTGTGAACTCTGCGGACGATCTGCAACTCAGGTAGGTTTAATTTAACATAAAACTTGAAATGGAAATACCCGACATATACTCGTGCGCTGGTTGCTCCGATCATGTGTAGATGAAAGGAATTTTCAGAAAGGAAATTATACATTTGATGGTGACAATTATATGTTGTTTTATCAATTGTAGTTCGTTTTTCATCTTATTGTTTGAAGATATAAATATTTCTTAATTTATGTTTTTAAATTGATTTATTTTATAATCAGGAATCTTTGATAAAGCCGTCATGAAGGCTATTTCAACTATTCGTACCGTGTTCCACCAAACTATCCATGCCAACCGAAGACCCCTGTCTCTTACTACGACAGTTAAAAGATGGATGGGAGGCCAGTTACCAGGGCAACACTCCCAGGAGTTAGCCGCAAGGACCACGATGGCTTACTCCCCGTTTGAAACATTAAACAAATACGAGAGCCACGTGGATTTGTTCTCTTGCGACTATCTTGGCCTTGGTCAAAACGAGGAGCTTAACTGGGTACACGCCTATTCGATTCTCCGTCACGGAATGGACAGAATCTGTTCCTGCGTTGTCTCACACCCAGGCGATTCTCCTGTTAGGGATACAGAGAGGGCCTTGGCGCGGTGGTTGAAGAGCGAAAGTGCTGCCCTCACCTATTCCTGCACAGCAGCAAACATTGGAGCTATGGAGATATTGCTCAAAGGAAACCAGCGACCAGTCTACGTGGACCGTTTTGCTCATGCGACACTTCAAGTTGGAGTGACTTTTGCCGGTGCTGCGGGGAGATTGCATGTGTTTCAACACAATGATCTGGATCACCTCCGATCACTGATAGCAAAAACAGGGAGCGGAGTGGTAGTCGTGGACTCGATTTACAGCACTAACGGAGAGGAAGCACCGATGGCCGACTTGGTGGACTTGTGCCACGACCTTGGTTGCATCCTCGTCGTAGATGAAAGCCACGCACTTGGCGTAATAGGGGAGCAAGGTGAAGGTTTAGTCGCCCATCTTGGTCTCGAAGACGGCGTTCATGTAAGAACCACATCATTACATAAAAGCCTTACATGCGATAATGGTGTCATTGCCAGTAGCCGTGACGTCACAGACTGCTTCAACCACGCCACAACGTTAGGCATATTCAGCAATGCCATGCAAATCTCTGGCGCAATGAGAGTGAAAAAAGCAATGGAGTTGGCAATGCAGGCAACTGAACAGAGAGAGAACTTGCGAAAAATGTCTAAATCATTCCGACAACAGCTTAAAGAAGCTGGCTTCCCGGTTAGGACCGACATCGACCACCCCATAGTATCTGTAGTTGTCGGTCAGTCTGCTAGGGCGGTAGAAATACATCACTATCTGTGCTCTAAGGGGATATACCCTTGGGTTTTCTTTTATCCGGCGACCCCAAAAGACGGAGCCATGGTGAGATTTGTGATCAACCAATATTTGACCCCAGAGAAACTCGCCTACACCGTTGAAACAATAAAGAATTTCAGAGATGATCTAAAGCCACCCACTGGTATGGGTAGAGAGGAGAGAAGTGTAATCAGTCAAGCTATCATATAATCAAGATCATAGATCAACGCATATTACCTTTATTTAGCATTGTCAGCATAGAAGAAGACATTGTTGGGTTCAAGATAAACAGAAGATCGAATGTATTCAGTATGTGGTATTCTGCATTTAGACATTACTAACCCATCGTGTCTCCATCCAGGGACTACAGGCACAACATAATTTATATACACGTATACTAAACACTATTTTGAGCTATTTTTAGACTGAGCACAAGTTAACTTATAAGAGTTACTGGCAGATTCAACTAAGTTTAATCACTAGCTCATTAAGATCATAAATATTTAACAATACAGCCGAACAATTTTGCTGTAATGAATAGGGATGGATGAACTGCTTAGTTTATTTTTGGTTTTAAATTGATTCTACGCCATTGCTTTCCCTCCCGGGGACAGCCATACCATTTTTCTTATATGGACGCCTTCACCTTATACACTAGGTCATTTTCTATTCATATTCTCTAAAGAACCACAAGTACAGTTTCCTAAGTACATGTATGTAAATATATCACCTCTTAAAGTACACTCCACGGTACAGCAAAAACATTGGTCATAGTAAAGAGATAATAACGAGAGGCGTGCACGGCTAATACCGAGGTTTCCATGGGAATATATTTCACGGTTTACCTTAGGACTATGTAATGTGCTATTACTATTAAGAGCAATCACATTTACCAGTAAAACTAATTCATATATTTAACTTCTATCAGGGATGTTCAAAGATTTGGATTAGGTTCCGAACGGAGCAAACTATTAATTGTTATTATATTTGCTCATTCTTCTACTTAAACATATTCTTCTTATGCGTTTTTTTTTTTTTTTTTTCTTTTTATTCCTTTATACCATTGCTTGATATTTTGAGGTTTTGATGAGCTGATAACAAATTTATCATGATTTTGCTTAATGTCTACTGAATCAACGGGCTGCCGATAAAATATAACACCATTGTGAAACTAAGAATAGAATGTTTTAAATATTTATATCTTAAAATTGATATACGTATTTGAAGTATAGAAATAGAGGCAAACCTTTCATACAAATTGTTAAAAATAGTTATGCCCCACAGTAATTACAACTAACTAACAACAGTTATTCCATAAAGACATCAAAAGTCAAACTAAGTCTACGCATGGTAGATATAAGATATCTTGTTTAAAAAAAATGTTGTGCATTAAATTGCTTAAAGTATACAATTATTTACATAAGCAATGTTGTGCGGCCCCATTTGCCACGGTTCATGTCCATCTACTTAAAACATCCCAGGCTACAAACACCCGCCCGGCCAATATTTATCTTTCACACCGGTCAGCACGCTTGTTGGACGCTTCATAGACGACTGCCATTTTAGCGGAAATAGAGATAGCCAGTTTAAGACGGCCAAATAATACTACGCACTTCTTTTCGATTCGCTGAGCATGCAAAAGTCCCTTAATGTTTTTTTTTTTTTTTTTTTTTTTTTTTCGGGGGACGGGTAATAAAACTGCAAGGGAAGACTCGGTCGCTGCTAAATTATGTCTGTATATTAAAGAAGACCCCCAGGGCTTGATCCACGCAATTAAGATTAGATATCTGTCACAAAAACATCTTGTAACGTCAGGCGGTAATATGTCATATTCATCTACATATATCGAATCACATCTCTGCGATCAAGTAATCATTATCTGTTGATCTTTTGTTAAATATAAATTGAGAATAATTTTATTGAAAAGCATTTGCTTTAGCCAATTTTTTTTACCTTTATAGTGAATATAAATATAATAATACAAAATATTAGCTATCGTGTATTGCTATATACATCATAAGCACAAGCTGCTGACGCGTTGCGTAACAAAAAGATTCGCGACGTTGATGTGCAGTATAGCATAAGAACACTGCCTAAAGGGAGATAATATACATAGAACGACAGACTTTAACACAGAAGAGTCACTGGGTCAACAAACCACCCTTTATTGTCGTCGAGGTCTTCAATTTCTTAGTCCTCACTACTGAGATAGCTGGTGGTCAAGACACGCCATTTGGGCCAATAGCTACTAACAAGTGACCGTTGAAAATTCTAGGAACGCTATCACGGCTCAGGTTTGTTTCATTTCTCAATATATTTATAGTAGAAATGGCATTATACTGTATACCCTATATGAAGATAACTTCTGTAATGTGAACATTTATAATTTGAGACCTTCATGATATTTTAATAAAAGATATTAAAACAAAAGAGCTAAAAATTGAATGAATCCGTTTTAGGCATTGTCACCATGTGCAATATTTGGCAGGTATGACATTTACAGGAATGCATGCTTATGATGCTAACCAGAAGAGACACTGGAAAGATTTATCTAGCAGATTGTTAAGTTCAGGCTTACTGTTCGTTCTTCTTTTTGAAGAATTCCCGATTACAAACTTCACTGATATAAATTTACATGTACGTTGCATTTGACCACCATGCGTCATTTACTGTTCACAGTATTAAACAGAAAGGGGAAATCCGCCAGGATGTGTACCTTTTTTTTAGGCAACAAACATCCTTTGTTTATTTACTTTTGTCTCTTTGCTTTCTTTTTAATTATTTGAATATACATTTACTTATATAAAAATTAAGCGTATAGAAAATTACATCGCCTCCACGTTGACCGACGGCCGTTTTACCCTAAGACTCTTCAGTGGTGTTGGGGGAGCCGGGGACCGACTGACACCTTATTGTTATAAAAACTGAGATGTCAGGGAAATTATTACCTTCGGGTATTCAGTAATTTTTCTTTAAAAAAGGAAGATCATTTATGTACTTTGTGGTGCAAATATGAGAAATTCCCTGTAATTCTTTTAAGAGTAAATTCAGCCTTACCACAAGGTGCGCACATACTAAAATCGTAAAGTAAATCATACTGTAGTCAGCTCCTGTGCATTGTACTCCGTTACACCGAGTTGCAGCCAGAATTGAGCTATGTGCACTGCACTTTTGCTCACCTCTGAAAACTTCTTGAAATAAAACTGAGTTTACTAACAACATCATCAACAAAAGCATATATATATATATATATATATATATATATATATATATATATATATATATATATATATATATATGACCGAAATAATACAAGTTTTCTTTAAAACATTTCTACTTTGTCAAAAAACAACACACGATCTACCTCTTTTTTCTGATAGAGGTTTAGTAATTACATTAAAGAAGTGTCGTTATCTCCAGTCTCCATCAGTGTGCCATATAGACATGTCTCGGGGCGAACGAACCCGGGGGGGGGGGGGGGGTAAATTGGGCGTACCTGCCCCTGACTTCCTTTTCAAGCACGCGATTGCATAATATCTGTAAGACTTATCCAAAGAATCTGTCACAGTAAGGCCATATATCCTGTGTAATACATGCTATACTCAACCCACTAAAACATGCACCTAATAGAGACATAAAATTGTTTTCCAGTGTAAAATAAACTGCGAGATCCTGCTTGCGCGTCTCGTTACGTCAACCAGTCAACGTGTCACGTGCCCATTCAAAAAGTTACGTTTCACTTTCGACAAAAGATGGTGTACAGTCTTGCCAAGGGGGTAAAATAGCGCCACCTATACAGATTTCAAATTACATCATAAAACTTGCCCTTGCCTCCCATCTATCTCCTGTTTCATATCGTAATTTTGAAATCTTTGTACGTCCCTGAAGAACCTTCGGGCAAAACGGCCTTCAGGCAAAAAAAAAGGATGGAGGAAACAGTCAAATTTTGTTCATTTTTAAATATATTGATTGGATCCAAACAATGTATATAAAATGATTTGTGGTAAAAATACAATACTGGATTTATTTCGACAAATACAGTATATATATACTAATGTTAGATTCATTTTTTATTCAGCACTGAAATGAAAGCCATCTCAATTCTTCGTTCCGTGTTCCACCAATCTATCCATGTTCATCCACCACCCCTGTCTCTTACTATGACAATAAAGAGATGGAAGGGAGGCCAGTTACCAGGGCAACACTCCCAGGAGCTAGCCGCAAGGACCAAGGCGGCTTACTCTCCATTTGAAACATTAAACAAATACGAGAGCCACGTGGATTTGTTCTCTTGCGACTATCTTGGACTTGGTCAAAACGAGGAGCTTAATCGGGTACACGCCGACGCGATTCTCCGTCACGGAATGGACCGAATCTGTTCCTGCGTTGTCTCACACCCAGGCGATTCTCCTGTTAGGGATACAGAGAGGGCCTTGGCGCGGTGGCTGAAGAGCGAAAGTGCTGCCCTCACCTACTCCTGCACAGCAGCAAACATTGGAGCCATGGAGATATTGCTAAAAGGAAACCAGCGACCAGTCTACGTGGACCGTTTTGCTCATGCGACACTTCAAGTTGGGGTGACTTTTGTCGGTGCTGCGGGGAGATTGCATGTGTTTCACCACAATGATCTGGATCACCTCCGATCATTGATAGCAAAAACAGGGAGCGGAGTGGTTGTCGTGGACTCGATTTACAGCACCAACGGAGAGGAAGCACCGATGGCCGACTTGGTGGACTTGTGCCACGACCTTGGTTGCATCCTCGTCGTAGATGAAAGCCACGCACTTGGCGTAATAGGGGAGCAAGGTGAAGGTTTAGTCGCCCATCTTGGTCTTGAAGAAGGCGTTCATGTAAGAACCACATCATTACATAAAAGCCTTACATGCGATAATGGAGTCATTGCCAGTAGCCGTGACTTCACAGACTGCTTCAACCACGCCACAACGTTAGGCATATTCAGCAATGCCATGCAAATCTCGGGCGCAATGAGAGTGAAAAAGGCAATGGAGTTGGCAATGCAGGCAACTGAACAGAGAGAGAACTTGCGAAAAATGTCTAAATCATTCCGACAACATCTTAAAGAAGCTGGCTTCCTGGTTAGGACCGACATCGGCCACCCCATAGTATCTGTAGTTATTGGTCAGTCTGCTAGGGCGGTAGAAATACACCACTATCTGTGCTCTAAGGGGATATACCCTTGGGTTTTCTTTTATCCGGCGACCCCAAAAGACGGGGCCATGGTGAGATTTGTTATCAACCAATATTTGACCCCAGAGAAACTCGCCTTCACCGTTGAAACAATGAGGAATCTCAGAGCAGATCTAAAGCCATCCTCTGGTTTGGGTAGAGAGGAGAGAAGTGTAATCAGTCAAGCTATCATATAATCCACATCAAAGATCAACGCATATTGCCTTTATTTAGCACTGTCATCCTAGAAGAGAATATTGTTTTCTAAAACAACGTTGCTAGTATCAGGAAAATCTTAAATAACTAATTTACATTTGACTAAGGTTATGAGAATAAAACATACCTGAGGCGTGGCTCGTCCTCATAGGAAGTTCACGTCACTTAGTCGTCTCGTGTGTGGCTGATATGTAGCTGCTACTGCAAACAAACGTTTTTATTTGGTCCACCAAGGATCTAATAGTACTGATTTGCACAAAGAATAAAGAAGCGTTATCAAAACACACATTTTCCCGGAAAGGATTGATTAATATGCTCTCTTCAGATTTTACAGAGGTAAAATATTCATTCATTCAAGATTAATATCTGCTTCGTGTTCTTGGTGTCTAAATACATCTTTTATGTATGAGGGTTTTCAAATAGCTACAGGTATAATGGTGCTCAGTGGGCCGACAGAGAACAGCAGAGATCATCTAAAACGGAAAAAGCCAAAGTGAAAAAAGGTATCTGTCTGACTCTGTGACTCAGAGTTCAAAGTTCTGTCGCCGTATATATGCTCCCTTCTTTTTATCAATGCATTTGATGCCACACAGTTTAGATTTAGTAAGTCAAGGTCTTAATTTGACAAGCCATTTGACATACAATTACACCTATATTTAAAGAACCATGGTAACCAAATAAACTAAATTCAAATAAATAAGTTGAACAAGAGTAAAAATGTGTAATTAGTACTTAAACTCTGAGACAGTAAGCAGCAGTTAGTTAAAGGCACCATGCAAGTGCCCATAACATGATTTCTATCTTTATTTAATAATCACTTCAGACAATTAGGGATACGATAATTTGACATAATACAGGTAGCTATCTTCATAAGAGGGTCCTTTACCAACCAAACACACCAAACACAGAACGTTTTATAACTTTATCATAATGTTTCTACATATTTATTGTACGGTTACAATAACGTTTTATGCTTTTGGGTATCTCATTTGAATTTGATATAACGCAAAATAATCTATGGATCAATTTAATGCCAGAGTCGCCAGAAAACCAAACCCTGGTACCATTCGATTCCAATTAAAAGAGGGAAATCTCAGGACTAGGTAACAAATTTAAATAAACGACGGAGTCATGCTTTCGAACGGTGTTAAAGGACTGTGATTTTCAGAAAGAAATTTAATCTTTATAGATTTTCTAACAGCTCCCAGTGACCAGTTAAATCCCATTTACGCTTTAAGACATACCTCGTGCGACCTTTGTGCGATCATGAAATTGACCAGGCCGTCGTTGGACGCCCAAAGGAAGCCCATTGATTGCTAAAGATACTCTCACACCATGCACAAAAAAGGTACGTAAGTGTAGCCTGAAACTGTGAAAAAAGCGCTTTATTTATACTACAGATGCTAAAGCGTAGGGATATGTTGCTCGTTCGCCGTCACACTAGCTTATGCCAAACGTATGAGTAACATACGACTCAAACGCTCGTGTACTCTTAAAATTTTGAACATTCTCAGAATATTCTTTCAGCCTCTGCGACTGCAAACGTACACCAGTGTTACTTGGGTACGCGGAAGGTATGCGACGTAAGACGAACATATCCCTTATGTACATACGTGGATTTTTTCCCATACGTTGGCGCTATATGCTATAGTGGGACAGGGCCTTTGATTAAGATGGCTTATGGAATTTACTCCACATTAATATTCCAACATTTTAATAAAGAAATAAAACGTCATACTGAGGGTACTTACAAGTGGATTTTTGTAAACACCAAGTCTTGTTTTAAAAATATACCATGCGCATTAAATTGCGAAATTATACAATTATTTACACAAATAACACTCTGTCACCCCATTTGTCGCGGTTCATGGACCATCTTCCAAGATCATCCTAGACTACATTGACCAGCCCTTCCTTTATTTATCTTCCACACGTCAGGGTCAGCACGTTTATCGGACGCTCCATAGACGACTGGCATTTTATATTGTGACATCACCAAATTGTTTTGAATAGATAGAGTCCTTTTAAACAAAATTATCTCGACTAACGCGCCAAAGCTGCCAGTTACAGAAGGTCAAACCATCTGTGTTCATCGCCTTGCCTGCTTTCCAGGGATTATCATCGTGCATTTACATATTAGACTTTGTCGATTGTTTTACATGGCATTTAAAGTCATACACCTTTTGCTAATATTTATGAGCATTTCCTTCTTCGTCTTATGGTTATTATTATTATTATTACAAAAATAATAATGTTGAATTCCAAGGCACATTTTCTGAGTAGTTTTAGCTTAACTGATCAAGATAACATACGATCGTCCTTTGAGATTCAAAATTAAAACAATACCTAAAGTCTGGTATAGTAGAAAATAATGTTGTCTTAGAATTGAATTTTCCACACTGACTGCTAGGCACATTTCTGATAAAAAAATCGTTCAATAATATTCAGAAAGAAATATTTGTTCTACATTTCTAACTTAAAATTAAAGAATTTCGCCAATACTCATAATTCCAAAACTATTCTAAGCGCTTGCCAACTATCTAAACAAGCCCTTCCCTTACCCAAACTGTTAGATTTATATACGTCTTTTCATTCTTTTCTAATTTCACGTCACTATGTCACACCCGTAGTCTATTACGGGAGCGTTACCCAATCTCCCAGTCAATCTACGTCACTTGTTGACAGGACATGGCGACCGTGGACCATATCAAGGTGACCGCAAGCTGCGGCGTAACCAGTTATATGTAGGCCAGATCAATTAGATACGGTATCTCTTTATATTTATAGCCTATATGAAACGCCTCAAAGATTACGAATAAACAGAAGTTGCATTGTTATTCATAGTAGGTGAAAACATGTCAATATACTTTTATATCTCCTGACCGCCTACGGAAACCCCACTGGCCCCGTTCCTGATACCCACGTGTAGTTAAATGACAACATTTTAGCTCGGTCACGCTGTGCCATTGTACCCCAAATTGTTGTTTACTTAGGATAGGTCTAATCTCTGCACGACCTGTCAATTATTTTGCTAAAATTAGACTATTTTTTAACTGTGTGGGCTCACTTGTCACGGTTCACCTGGTATAAAGTGTATAAAAGAAGATAATGTCCATACAATGACAGATTTTAAAATAGTGGAGTCGACAAGTCACCTTTTGATGTTTTTGCGTTCTTCGATTCTCAATCCGTACTACTGACATCGCTGTCATAGACGCGCCAACGTTGCCAGTTACAAACTTGGCTCTGCTGACCACCATACAAGCGAGTATTTTTCCTGCTGCTTTCAAGTGACCGTCTGTGAAAACAACGATTTGTGGCTCAGGTAAATTTTATTTAACACAAAACCTAAAATGGATAAAAGCCGTATACTACTACGATGATTGCTTCAGTGGTGTGAAAGGAATATTCAGAAAGGAAATTTAAGATTTGTTGGTGAAAATTATTTGTAGTTTTATTGATTGTAGTTCGATCGTTTTTTATCTTATTGAAGATACAAATATTCATTGATTTATGTATTAAAACTGATTTATTTTATTATCAGGAATCATTGCTTAAGCTGTCATGAAGGCCATCTCAACTGTTCGTTCCGTATTACACCAATCTATCCATGCAAACCGAACACCGCTATCTCTTACTACGACAGTTAAGAGATGCATGGGAGGCCAGTTACCAGGGCAACACTCCCAGGAGTTAGCCGCAAGGACCAAGGCGGCTTACTCCCCGTTTGAAACATTAAACAAATACACAAGCCACGTGGATATGTTTTCCTGTGACTATCTTGGACTTGGTCAAAACGAGGAGCTTAATTGGGTACACGCCTATTCGATTCTCCGTCACGGTATGGACCGAATCTGTTCCTGCGTTGTCTCATACCCAGGCGATTCTCCCGTTAAGGATACAGAGAGGGCCTTGGCGCGGTGGCTGAAGAGCGAAAGTGCTGCCCTCACCTACTCCTGCACTGCAGCAAACATTGGAGCCATGGAGATATTGCTCAAGGGAAACGAGCGACCAGTCTACGTGGACCGTTTTGCTCATGCGACACTTCAAGTTGGGGTGACTTTTGCTGGTGCTGCGGGGAGATTGCATGTGTTTCACCACAATGACCTGGATCACCTCCGATCATTGATAGCAAAAACAGGGAGCGGAGTGGTAGTCGTGGACTCGATTTACAGCACCAACGGAGAAGAGGCACCGATGGCTGATTTGGTAGACTTATGCCACGACCTTGGTTGTATCCTCGTTGTAGACGAGAGCCACGCACTTGGCGTAATAGGGGAGCAAGGTGAAGGTTTAGTCGCACATCTTGGTCTCGAAGACGGCGTTCATGTAAGAACCACATCATTTCTTAAAAGCCTTACCTGTGAAAACGGCGTCATTGCCAGTAGCCGTGACTTCACAGACTGCTTCAACCACGCCACAACGTTAGGGATATTCAGCAATGCCATGCAAATCTCAGGCGCAATGAGAGTGAAAAAGGCGATGGAGTTGGCAATGCATGCAACTGAACAGAGAGAGAACTTGCGAAAACTGTCTAAATCATTCCGACAACAGCTTAAAGAGGCTGGTTTCCCTGTTAGGACCGACATCGACCACCCCATAGTATCTGTTGTTGTCGGTGAGATGGAGAGGGCGGTAGAAATACACCACTATCTGTGCTCTAAGGGGATATACCCCTGGGTTTTCTTTTATCCGGCGACCCCAAAAGACGGAGCCATGGTAAGATTTGTGATCAACCAATATTTGACACCAGAAAAACTCGCCTACACCGTTGAAACAATGAAGAATCTCAGAGAAGATCTAAAGCCATCCACTGGTATGGGAAGAGAGGAGAGAAGTGCAATCAGTCAAGCTATCATATAATCAAGATCATAGATCAGCGCATATAACCTTTATTTAGCATTGTCATCCTAGATGAAGACATTGTTGGGTTAAAGATAAACAGAAGATCGAATGTATTCAATATGTGGTATTCTATATTTAGACATTACTAACCCATCGTGTCTCCATCCAGGGACTACAAGCACAACATAATTTATATAAAAACACGTATACTAAACACTCTTTTGAATTATATATAGACTGAGCACAAGTTAACGGATAAGCGGTACTGGCAGATTCAATAAAATTTAATTACTAGGGCAATAAGATCATAAATATTTAATAATACAGCCGAACAATATTGCTGTAATGAATAGGGATGGATGAACTGCTTAGTTTATTTTTGGTTTTAAATTGATTCTACGCCATTGCTTTCCCTCCCGGGGACAGCCATACCATTTTTCTTATATGGACGCCTTCACCTTATACACTAGGTCATTTTCTATTCATATTCTCTATTTTAAAAGACAAAGCACTAATTCGTTATCCTCTATTTATAGACAAGTGAAGATAAATGGGACACGTAAAAGTAGAATTGACAGCCACAATGTATAATGTGTGTATGTGTTTTTATTTTATTTTATTTATTTTATTTTTTTTTACATTATTTTTTTCTGTAAAGAACCACAAGTACAGTTTCCTAAGTACATGTATGTAAATATATCACCTCTTAAAGTACACTCCACGGTACAGCAAAAACATTGGTCATAGTAAAGAGATAATAACAAGAGGCGTGCACGGCTAATACCGAGGTTTCCATGGGAATATATTTCACGGTTTACCTTAGGACTATGTAATGTGCTATTACTATTAAGAGCAATCACATTTACCAGTAAAACTAATTCATATATTTAACTTCTATCAGGGATGTTCAAAGATTTAGATTAGGTTCCGAACGGAGCAAACTATTTTAATATTAAAATAGTTATTATATTTGCTCATTCTTCTACTTTAACAAATTCTTCTTATGCGTTTTTTTTTTCTTTTTATTCCTTTATACCATTGCTTGATATTTTGAGGTTTTGATGAGCTGATAACAAATTTATCATGATTTTGCTTAATGTCTACTGAATCAACGGGATGCCGATAAAATATAACACCATTGTGAAACTAAGAATAGAATGTTTTAAATATTTATATCTTAAAATTGATATACGTATTTGAAGTATAGAAATAGAGGCAAACCTTTCATACAAATTGTTAAAAATAGTTATGCCCCACAGTAATTACAACTAACTAACAACAGTTATTCAATAAAGACATCAAAAGTCAAACTAAGTCTACGCATGGTAGATATAAGATATCTTGTTTAAAAAAAATGCTGTGCATTAAATTGCTTAAAGTATACAATTATTTACATAAGCAATGTTGTGCGGCCCCATTTGCCACGGTTCATGTCCATCTACTTAAAACATCCCAGGCTACAATCACCCGCCCGGCCAATATTTATCTTTCACACCGGTCAGCACGCTTGTTGGACGCTTCATAGACGACTGCCATTTTAGCGGAAATAGAGATAGCCAGTTTAAGACGGCCAAATAATACTACGCACTTCTTTTCGACTCGCTGAGCATGCAAAAGTCCCTTAATGTTTTTTTTTCGGGGGGCGGGTAATAAAACTGCAAGGGAAGACTCGGTCGCTGCTAAATTATGTCTGTATATTAAAGAAGACCCCCAGGGCTTGATCCACGCAATTAAGATTAGATATCTGTCACAAAAACATCTTATAACGTCAGGCGGTAATATGTCATATTCATCTACACATATCGAATCACATTTCTGCGATCAAGTAATCATTATCTGTTGATCTTTTGTTAAATATAAATTGAGAATAATTTTATTGAAAAGCATTTGCTTTAGCCAATTTTTTTTTACCTTTATAGTGAATATAAATATAATAATACAAAATATTAGCTATCGTGTATTGCTATATACATCATAAGCACAAGCTGCTGACGCGTTGCGTAACAAAAAGATTCGCGACGTTGATGTGCAGTATAGCATAAGAACACTGCCTAAAGGGAGATAATATACATAGAACGACAGACTTTAACACAGAAGAGTCACTAGGTCAACAAACCACCCTTTATTGTCGTCGAGTTCTTCAATTTCTTAGTCCTCACTACTGAGATAGCTGGTGGTCAAGACACGCCATTTGGGCCAATAGCTACTAACAAGTGACCGTTGAAAATTCTAGGAACGCTATCACGGCTCAGGTTTGTTTCATTTCTCAATATATTTATAGTAGAAATGGCATTTTACTGTATACTGTATCCCTGTATGAAGATAACTTCTGTAATGTGAACATTTATAATTTGAGACCTTCATGATATTTTAATAAAAGATATTAAAACAAAAGAGCTAAAAATTGAATGAATCCGTTTTAGGCATTGTCACCATGTGCAATATTTGGCAGGTATGACATATACAGGAATGCATGCTTATGATGCTAGCCAGAAGAGACACTGGAAAGATTTATCTAGCAGATTGTTAAGTTCAGCTTACTGTTCGTTCTTCTTTTTGAAGAATTCCCGATTACAAACTTCACTGATATAAATTTACATGTACGTTGCATTTGACCACCATGCGTCATTTACTGTTCACAGTATTAAACAGAAAGGGGAAATCCGCCAGGATGTGTACCTTTAATGGCAACAAACATCTTTTGTTTATTTACTTTTGTCTCTTTGCTTTCTTTTTAATTATTTGAATATACATTTACTTATATAAAAATTAAGCGTATAGAAAATTACATCGCCTCCACGTTGCCCTTCGACGTTTTCCCCTAAGTCTCTTCGGGGGTGTTGTGGGGGGCGGGGACCGACTGACACCTTATTGCAATAAAAACTGAGATGTCAGGGAAATTATTACCTTCGGGTATTCAGTAATTTTTCTTTAAAAAAGGAAGACCATTTATGTACTTTGTGGTGCAAATATGAGAAATTCCCTGTAATTCTTTAAAGAGTAAATTCAGCCTTACCATACGGTGCGCACATACTAAAATCGTAAAGTAAATCATACTGTAGTCAGCTCCTGTGCATTGTACTCCGTTACACCGAGTTGCAGCCAGAATTGAGCTATGTGCTCTGCACTTTTGCTCACCTCTGACAACTTCTTGAAATAAAACTGAGTTTACTAACAACATCATCAACAAAAGCACATATATATATATATATATATTTGACCGAAATAATACAAGATTTATTTAAAACATTTCTACTTTGTCAAAAAACAACACACGATCTACCTCTTTTTTCTGATAGAGGTTTAGTAATTACATTAAAGAAGTGTCGTTATCTCCAGTCTCCATCAGTGTGCCATATAGACATGTCTCGGGGCGAAC